AGCAAGCTGGGTCTCCAACCCCGCTCGCTCAGAGCCAAAACCCAGCAGTTCTGATATTTTAACCTTCCTTTTTCTTTGGTGGGGCAGGGAGACAGAAGAACTTTCCACAACACAGCAGAACGCTGCCAAATCCACTTCTTTTTAATAAAGCTCCTCACCCACACAACACATTAAATGTTACCTAAAGGGCAAGTCTGAGAACCCTTTTGTTAAAGATTTCAGCAGAGCAAAGCCCTGCGTTTCTACCTTTCCTGGGCACTAACAAAAAATGTGTTTGAGGACCCAACAGGTCAGAAAACATCGTTTTAAAGCCTCTATCAGAACAAAGTCACTATGTCACGTTGATCAGGATGAATTACGCATCTATCCTGCACATCCTGGGAATTCAAACAAAACCTTAATTCCCTTCGTAAACGACAGTTTTAATTAGAAACTCAAGTCCATAGTCTCATCTCAATAAACCATGTGTTATTCTCCTGCTGTCACCAAGGATCCACGGCGCTGCAGTGGAGCCCTGAGTGAAATCCCATGGCAGGGCTCGGGCACAGGCTGCTGCTGAGAAACAACTCCAGGAGTTCCCAGTGTTGGTCCCTCCACAGAACTGCAGGAAAGCACAAGTTTTGAACATATCTCCAAAGTCACCCGTTATTTGTTTCCAGCTGCAGCAGCCTTGCTTAAAGCTCCATTTCTAATCTGAGATCAAGCAATAAACTAATTAAAAACCTGTAGTGTCCTCTTGAAGACCACAAGAACATAAAACAATCTTTTTTCTTCCCTCCCCTCCTCTGAAGATAAAGCATCTCTACAATGAAAAGCAAACAAGAAGGCACAACCTGGATTGGACTTTTAAAGACTTCAAGGATTTTTCTCCAGCAGAGCACGTGGAGATGTGTGGAAGACCCCACTCCATCCCGGCCATGGGCACCATCTTGTGTCCTTTGCCAGCAGAACATGGTATCTAGTTACTGACCACAAAGCCCAAGCATGGATTTCCCACCTTCAGTGAACACCCAGACAAGGATGCTGAAGCTAGAAAAGCACAGTCCACCTTGCCCCAAGATTTTGAGTCCCTCCAGAGGAGCTGGTCTCTCCTCCAGCTCCAACCTTCGGTGCTGAGCATCACCAGACAGGTTTGAAGCCCACTGTCCACGCCACCAGGTACAGCTGAATCTACTGGGCTTTTTCTCCACCCAGCTCCTCCCTGCACCTATCCTGTGCCCTTCCCAGGAGCACACAGTCAGGGCAACGCTGCTCTTCAGGTGCAGGGTGTGGTTCCTGTCCATGAGAGGTATGGATTCGGTGGGGTACAGACCCCTGCCTCTGCTTCCTGCAAAACCCCATCTTCTCCCACCGTAGCCAGCTCTGCCATTCCCACCTCAGATCTTGGAGCGACTGGCTCAAGGCCTCAGCCAACACGTGCATGCTGCAAGAAGAGCAGTTTTGCACTCTGACCTGTAGCTGAGCAAGTGCTTAACAACAGGGCCAGTGCCCAGGTCCCAGCTAATAGATGGGGAAACTGCTGAGCCCAGAACAGCAAAAGAGCTTCATGTCCCTCAAGAGGGGATGCAGCACCAGGACACTCTGGTTTCCCACCTCCCAGACACCACCACCCCAGCTGTGCCGGTGGAAGGTGGGGAGAGGGAAACAAGTGCCAAGAGCCAGCTGCGAGCTGTGAAAGGCTCCACCACTGCAGGTGAGGACCAGCCCAGGGCTGGGAAGTCTTGTGGATCCACCAGGAAATGTACGTCATGACACACATGAGGTCTGACAGGAATTGTTTTTTTCTCCTTCTCTGTATCAGCTCTTCAGAAATGGAAGCGTTAGAAAAACTGTTCACACACAACACAAGATGGTAAGAAACAATAAAAGCCGAGGCAGCTAAATTGTATATAAATGGATCAGGTTTTATTCAATATTTATTGCTTGCTCTATCAATTCTGAAATCAAACTGGCACATATAACAAAATAATGATTTTCTTGGCCAGAAGCGAACATTCAATACTTCTTTTTCATTAGTTTTGAAATAGGTAATCCTTCCTCTCAGTTTTAACAGCGTGTGAAAAGTTATAAAAGAGGCAGAGCTCGTTTGCTGAGATTAGTACATCAGTGCCAGCGCGTCTCCCGTGGTCAGCTGTCAGAGCTTGTGGGGAGCAACCTCCCTCACGGGCACCACAGGGCCAGGCCTTCCCAGCTTACACACCTGGTTTGAGACCCGCTGCTGTTCATTTTTCTACCTGGGGAGATCAACACCGATAACTCCCCGCCAAGGGCCCGGGGCTGACTCGTCAGCGGCTCCTCGCAGGGCTCCACGTGCTCTCGCTTCCCATCCTGCGAGCGGCCAATGAAGTCGCTCCCCAAAACTCTATTCCTTGAGAAAAGTAATCATTTTCATTCCAAATGAAGGTATCAGGAAGGAAAGGAGCGCCACTGCTGCACTCCCAAACCACACCTTTATTTTAGTATTTTAAAGCCCTCGGGATGTCTGAGGGCCCAGCTGAATCAGCAGCACCCCGGGCAGGCAGCACCCCAGGCAGGCAGCACCCCGGGCAGGCAGCACCCCGACACCAGCGCATGCTCAGATGCGGATGCCGAGACGTTGCTTCTCTTGTGTAGCCAGCTGCAGCCTCCTGAATGCCAAAGGAAGGTGGGAAGAGAGTCCTTTTCAAGTTCCAACCCTTCAAATCACACAGCACACTTCAGCTGTGCACCGAAGGAAGAGCGGATGTCTGCCGGACACAGCTTCATTCTAATACTGTTGAGTTTACTTAAAACACAGAAGGTCTTTGCACAAAGTCGGTCTCTGCTCCGAGTCCTCCGCGCTCAGCTGCCGAGCAGCAGCTCCGACGGGCCCCAGATCCCCGTTAGTGTGTTGGCCAGACAGCGACCACAGCAATTGCAATCAGCAGCAACACAATCACCACCAGCATTCCTGGAAAAGATGAAACGACGTTAAGGTTGCTGCCTTCATCTTTTACAATTGGTCTTTTGCAATTAAATTCTTCCTCTGAGTCCTGCTCCTCCTCCCAGCTGAGACTGATTTCCCCCGCTGCTCACCCCGTGCAAGGCCCTCGCCAGATCCCTGCACGCCGATGACCTGAACAGAGATGTGGACTCGAACTCCACATTGGTAGAGCAGCTCTTTCTCTTCATGACCCTTCAAATTAATTTTTTTAACAGTGCCTGAAGGGTATCTTCTTACTTAAACATCTGCCTTGCAAAGATTAAGGGATATGTTTAACTCATGGCAAGGCCAGTTAAGCTTTTTTAGAATCCCTCTGTACCATCCCACTGGGGCAAAGGATTATTCAGAAGGAAATCCAAATTGCATCAGGAAATTGTTTCCAATACAAACTACTCCTGCTTTCAGACAAAACCATTTGCAGAGCAGAAGCAGGGCTTTTGTGTATGTACCCAAGTTGGGAAAATGAAGATCAAGCAGCATTAAAGAGCTCTGCAGTGCTCTGCCCAATCGTGCAGCTCCGTGTGCTCCATCCTGCCCCAGAACCGTACCCGTTGCTATGCAGAGTTAATGACTAATATGATCTTACAAAACCTCACAACTACTTTTTAGGTCATGCACACCATGCTGCTCTGAAGAAGGATGGTGTTAAAAAAATAAAAGTTATGGATCGTTTTGAAGACTGATCCAGAAAACCAGCAAAGCAGATTTTCTCTCTCTTGACTGAACGATAGTGATAAGGCGGCACAGCTGTCAGATGCCTTCTAGAGGGAACTAATTCTTCTTAGTTCCCCCCTCCTTAGGGGGAACTCTCTACTTTTTCTCCCTGTTCTTAGAGGAGAGGAAGTAATATTTTACTGAAAATGGACTAGATCCCTGCAGTCCACCCCATCACCTCCCTGAGCAGCCCCGACACATGAACTCCTCGCAGAGCCGGCTGGACCACTGCCCGCTTCAGGCACTTGGCATCACGCACACAGGCATCCCTGGGGTTAAAGGATCTTTTAATTAGGAGGCTTTTGTTTTTGTTTAGTATCTGCTCTGTGCTATTCCCCGTGCCTGAGCTGTGGGAATATGTTAGGGCTCTGACAGCGGAAAAAATGTCCCTTCATTTGGTCCTCTCACAGATGACTATTACTCAACCACTTACAATATTTACAAGTCCAGCTCATGGCAATTAAGAAAGGATGTATTAAAATAAACTCCTCTTTCCAAGCTGGAAAAGGATATTAGACATTGCTTTTTGTAAATAGTGTCATGTTTTCTGTGCAGAAACTGTTTCTCTGCCAGAGGTCCAGGATTTTTTTTTTCCAGGGAAATAAGAGTTGCCACCAACAGTATTTTTTTCTTTTATGCTCAGCTGAAACAATCTGTTATCTGAAGTGAGCTTGAGCTGTGCTCGACTGCACTGGCTCACACAGGTCTCAATATTGAGCCTTTCTTTTCCTTGTAGGAAAGCTCCACCCAGGATGCCCGAGGGCTCCATACGCTCCACCCGGGAGCCCGAGGGCTGCTGCAGGACTCAGCCCCGCGGTGGGGTGTGGGGACAAGCTCTTTGGGTAGGCAGGGACAAGTCCTGTAAGATGCATGGTGTGTAGTTACTGCATCCTATGGCCTAGATGGTTTGGGGGTGATTCTTTTAGAGCTTCAGGCTAAACCTGGATGAAACTGCTTATCAATCACATCAAACGGGAATAAACTAGTAAAAATGCATCTGTCTGTTCCTGCTGCTCTCTTTGCACCCCTAGCAAGAGTTCAGGTTTGGCTCTTGACACCAGAAGGCACCAGGACCACACTGCCCAACGCCGCCTTTCCAGCTGACAACCACCCTGCTTGCACCCAGCCCCGGCGGGCACAGGGCAGCCCAGGTCTGGGCTGGGGCACATGGGAAACCAGGTCAGTCCCAGCAGCGCTCGCCAGCGCCCACAGAGCCTAGCCTAGCTCCAGATCCTCATTCCAGGTCAGTGTCTATCCATGTGAGTCCACAAGTATTTGACCCAGATGAATCTCACACTATACACAGGCTACTTGCTCCGACCCACCAGAAAGGCTGAGACAGGGATATCGTTCCATTCTCAACCTCAGCCAATCACTCAACATCACCCAGGAACACAAACTGTTAGAATAATACATTGGGAACACGATCTATACTTTTACTGTGTTTCTAATCTCTCACTTTTTACATCTTAATCTACACTTTGAGGTCTTCAACAGAGCCAGAAGCAAATAATTTGCTTAAATTGAGAAGAAACAAGATCTGATAAAACTGCTGCATTCAGATTCTCTGTTATGTTTTGCACTGGAGGGAAAAGTTTTAGGGGGTGCAAATCCTTAGCACAGTTTCAGTGTAACACAGTTTATGGACTTCAGCAATTAAGAGACAACCGAGATCAGTTGCTTGGAAAATACTCTATAGGTGTGAATTAGTAATGATACAAAGTGGAGTTAATGGGGCGTAATTATTCTTTGACAACTCCCAAGAAAAATTGCACATAAAACCAGAATTATTACACAGCACGGACAGGCGAAGGTGGGGGACTAATAAAGTATTGCTAATGGGCACTAGCAGAATGAATAGGAAACTTAAGAGGACATTCAGGGCAATGAGAACAGGACAGCACAACAAAATAAACTTTGTTTTATTCCTGGAAAGAGACTGGTATTAAAAAACTGGAGCCACTTTTCTGTTTCCAAAAGCAGTGGTCAAGAACTTACTCCCCATGTGAGAGACAGAGAAGCGGAGATGGCACGTGTCAATGCAATATAAATCAGCAATCCACCAGTATTAAAGGCTTATCTGATCCGTGCGATATGCACAAAAAGAATAGGACGAACATAAATTGGCAATAGCACACAAATTTCAAAGTACCTCTTGCATGATAGAGACCAGATGTTATGCACATTTTTCCCCCCTATACCACAGAATAGCAGATTAGAAGGATCTGAAGCTTTTAAACCTGGGTGTTTCACAGAGTACAACATGCTTTCCTAACAAAAACTGTGGATAGGATCTGACAGTAATTATGCATTCTAGATTCCCTGCCTGCTTTGCCTTTTTTTGCTTAAGTCCTATGAGATATAAATATTCCCCCTGACAAGAACTCCTCAAAGAGAAGTTCAGGAATCAAAGCCACTAACAAAGTAAACAGAAGTCAAAGAAGAAAAAATAAAAGATTCCTGAACAAAAGAAAACAGTGACAGGAATACAAATTTGAAATGCATTTCTCAGGGTAAGGTAGAAAGTGCAAGCAGAAGTCTATGCAATTACAGAGCGATTAATTAAGGCAGGTTGGAGAAAGTGCAATGCTCTTGAAGCTCCGTCTACTAAAGAGCCTGAGCCAGTGCTGCTGCTCCAGCTCGGAGGAGCAGTGCAGACACACAGAGGGCAGGTTCCCAGCTCAGGTGCAGACACGCAGAGGGCAGGTTCTCAGCTCAGGCCATGTTTCGGGGCAGGGCTGCAGGACACGGGGCCCCCCCGCTGCCCCCGGCAGTGCCGGCACTCCTGCTGCTTCGCCGGGTCCCAACCTTAGTGCCCAGAGCCGCCGCTCAGCTCCCCGATCCCAACGCCGCTCCCGGGGAAGCAGCAGGGTTCAGTACTCCAAACCTAGCAAAGCCTCTTCCAAAAAAGCCAGTTAAGATCAAATTTTCAGATAGAAGATGGAAAGAAAAGGTTACAATATACATAATTTATCACTAGGTTAAGATTGTTCTCCAGCCTGCCTCACCTGCTATCTGTCCAGCTGTGAGACCAGAGGATCTGGGGTTCACACTACATCCCACCTTTCTGGGGTCACCTGGGGCAGCCCTTCTCCAAGCCCCAAATCTAATCCCTCTCCCCAGGATTTATCAGCTTTCAGGGTCACTGGACTGGGGTTCATCTTGGACCCCCTTCCCAGAGCCCCAAGTTACTTCTACGGGAACAGCTTCCCAGCTGGGGTTCACATGGAAATGCAAATAATTCCTCTGGGTCTGAATCTGCCCGAAGGAGTCTGGGCATCTAGAAGACTCTCCAGCCCCAGTTTGTACCTCAGTTTCCAGGGGATTAATGAGCTGTGTAAATACAGGTGACGGCTGAGGACTCCTACTGCCTTGTGCCTGTTCAGCCAGATAGTAACTACCCCTGTGCAGTCAGGATTGTGTAACTTGTCTAAGTTCTCATTACACCCCACTTAAAGTCCACGCTCTCTGGTGCACTGCCAGCCACCCTCGGCGATGACAAACACCAGTCACATAGACGACAACTCCAATAAATCATCTCATTTCCCTCTCTTCATCCCAACCTTTGCTGTTTTCCCATCGCAGAGACCCCAGATGTGGCTTAGAGCCACTCACGCTGAGCAGCGTGCAGGCCATCACACAGCACATCCCTGCCTCGGGAGCATCCCCCTCCTCTCCATACGGAGCCCACGCCGCAGGCGCTGCCCGTGTGTCCCAGCCTACGCTGCACTGCCAAAATCCTGGATGTGCTGCAGAGCTGAGAGAGGACAGAGAATAATTAACATTTCTGGTTTGCGTTTGCATGAAGTTACAGGGTGCCATGTACTAAATAAGCCTATTTGCCTCAAATAACTGTTATGAATCACAAATAACACTGATGAATTGGTTTCCTCGGAGAAGAGTGGATACCTACCGTCAGCCAGCAGCCAGCTTTTGTGTTTGTGATTAATCATCGAGACTTTCCAATTCCTTCTGCTGACTGTTCAGATGGAGGCAGCTGAGACTCAACGATCTGCTGTTTTCTTTAAAGCATTTTTAATTCCTAATGCTAACGACGGCTGGAGCCCAACAGAAATTTCTGCTCACAAGCCCCGCCGCCGACGGAGAGACGAGCCCTCGCAGCACCCATACAAAGCGGCCAATTGTTGCTTGTCAAATGGGTGCTTATGCCAGCTTTCTGACAGGGCAATATTTACTGTGAAATATCCACTTATTGTGCTGAATATAACTCCTGGGAATCTGAGCGTGTTTAG